CATAGTTGGTCCAGAATAGAATCATCATTATCAAGCATAATTAAACRAGGTCGAAATTTGCGATGAACTGCTAGGAGCACACCACCCCCTCTTAAACAGCCAGTTTTTTCATGATCTCCGTCCTTACGCAACACATAATAGAGATTCGAATCAAAATATTCACTATCAAAGTAGCTGGAATTCAACCAAGTCTCAACAATCAAGTCAAACAATAATATCGTAATCCAAATGTGAAGCAAAGTTGCGAATAATATTTGATTTACACCTAGTACCCGATAAATTTTGGTAGTAAACGTTAAGACAGGAGTCAGTTGAGGAAGGTGACGCATGAATAAAGTCGTGATTAACAGGCGCATCAACTAATCCGCAACGCTGTTTTCCCCTCTGGAAAAAACTTAAAGGGACGCAGCTTGATGCCARAAGGCCACACTGAAGAGGAGAAAACGGCATTAAAAAAAGATGGGGACACACCTAACTTAAAGTTTATCCTCTAAAGATGATTAATATTCGTATCTTTCTTAACTAATTTATAACATAAGAAATTCTCACTATTAACATTAGCATGTTTAACAACAAAAGCTATATCTTCCTCAGTGACTGAGTTCTTAAACGCAGACAGGTGAATCCATTTCTTGGGTATGACGACATATAGATCACTATTGGCACTAACACCAACAACAGTTGAAGCAGCTRGGGATTTTTTGTTCCTAGTGCTCATTTTTAACTTCGAATTTCCATTAGCAGTAATTGCAGTAGAAGAACTCAGAGTTACGCTAGGGTTACTCTTGGTTCAGGTGGTAACTAGATCTATTGTTCTTTGATGCGTTCAGTGCCTTTAGTCGGTCTATTGTTGAATTTCATCAACCTGTTGAAAGAATGTTCTCCTAATATTCCTAGGTAGCTCCGTTCCAAGCAAGTGACGGCAGGGATGGTTTCTATGGAAGCAGGAACTGCTTGGAGAGAATAGTACTATGTTCCTTTAGACTGAACCCATACCGGGTTAGTCAAAACACTTTTTTTTTGTCTCATACGACAACTGCCCATAGCGTCATATGTGACAACCCACATCGAACAAGACAAAACGAAAACGCATGTTTGAGTTTTGACTTGTTTAAATAGCTGTTGTCGAACTTCTTATGCATTTTCATACATTCAACGCACACCAAATGCGACAAACCCGTCTTTGTTGCTGATCAATATATACAAGCTATGGCGCATCCCACACCGAATGAAACAGACAAGACAA